TGGGTGTCATTATATTAGGATTACTTGTCTTAATAATTTTTTTTTAAACCTTTATTCCCATTATAGAGTACAGTCATACATAACCAAACATCAATATTAGTAATTATTCCAATTCAACTCTACCACCAAAAATGTAAAATACTTTCACCAAAACTCATTACAATTAACAAGTATTTGATTCCATTCCGATTCTAATTCTCATGTACGAACTAAATACACCCTAAATTTATATATATGTTTGTGTATGTGCGCACGCATTGAGTTGAGTGAAAAGTTTAAATGCTAATTATTAGTTTGGAACCGGAACACATGTGCGTTTAGTAATTGGATAAATGAATTATTATTTTTTAGAAAAATAGAAAGATAGAGAAATGAAAAATAAAAAAATGGACCTCAATTGTTGATATTGCTGACATGAACATTATTAGCTTTCTATTTTTTTTTTTTTTTATGAGGAGGCAGTTTTTGGTCCTCTTTTCGCGAAGTGGCATTTTCACCAATTAAACATACATTTAAATTATATTGATGATTAATATTTGCGCATAACTAGTTATAAAAACACAGAACAATCCCATTCGATTGAGTTGGTACAGTTAATTTGGGTAGGAGGCTAAGAGCTGCCTATTAACTTTACAGGGCGTTTGGATGAAGAGAATTTAAATTTCATTCCCACTTAATTCTAAAGGCCATTAAATTTCTTAGTTTGGTTAGAAGAAATTGTAATTCCATGGAATTGCAATTCCCTCATTTTCATGGAATTAAAATTCCATGTCCCCCTTGGGATTTTAATTCTATGGATTTTAGGAAGAAAAAAAGATAATGATGAGACAAAATTACCCTTTCTTTTTTTAACCTAAAATTGATATCTAACAACAACAATGGACATTTTGGATTTTATACTACTTATTCCCTTTCAATTCCCATGTATAGCAAACATTGGAATTGAAATTTCCAGTAATTTTATTCCTGTAAACCAAACACTGGAATTCAAATTCCTACTTTATTCCCAGTAATTCATCCCCCATAGAATTGCAATTCTTTTCCCACGTAATTTTCTCCTTCCAACCAAACGCCCCGTTATTGGTTTGGGCCGGTTAGCTATAAAAAAACATAGACTCTTTTAACTTTTTGAAACGCTTTACCAGCTAGAGTAATAATGTAGACTTTTTTCAACATGCACATTTATATAATAAGAGCATCCACATCAAGGGAAGAAATGGGGGATAATGTCAGATTATTTCACTTGGGTGGATTTAATAACAAATGTGGAGAAGAATTGATCTGCAAGTGTGAGGAGAATGGCAGGGAAAAAAAAAAAAAGGGACACAAGCCAATGGTTTATTATTTTTATTTTTAAATTCAATTTTTTCTTTCTTTTTTTCTTTTTTTTTTTTTCTCTCCCCTCCAACGTTCTTTTTTCTAATCACTTTTACATTGTCCCCTAATATCCCCAATTGATAATGTTGTTCTAACTGCGAGCCAACCTGTAAATCATAGTTATAAAAACACATTTATGAAATCAGGATGAGAAACATAATGGCCCTATTTGGTAAAATGGCTGTTAGCTGATAGCTGTTTGCTGTTAGCTGATTGTGTTAATTAGAGGGTATGATGAGGATTTGATTATTGAATATCAATCGTAACTGAGTCTGTACAAGTAATAATATAGAGAGTAGATAAAGAGTCCTAACGAACTACTAATATAAGAGTCCTAATACTCCCCCTCAAACTCAAGACGGAGCAGCTGCAACATTGAGTTTGTCCCGTAGAAAAGAAAACCGAGTAGACGGAAGAGCCTTGGTGAAAACGTCTGCTAGTTGATCCTTCGTAGAAATAAAATGAACCTGAATCTCCTTCTTGGCAACCTTGTCGCGAACGAAGTGATAATCAATCTCCACATGCTTCGTTCAGGCATGAAAAATTGGGTTCGAACACAAGTAGGTGGCACCCAAGTTGTCACACCACAGAGTTGGCGCATAAGCCGGCGGAAAACCAATCTCTTTAAGTAGTGAAACGAGCCACGTAACCTCAGCCGAGATATCAGCTAAAGCCTTGTATTCATCAGTAGACGAACGCGCCACCGTGCGCTGCTTCCTGCATGACCAGGAAACCAGATTGGTGCCCACGTAGACCGCAAAGCCACTGGTTGATTTTCTATCATCCGGATTGCCAGCCCAATCCGAGTCAGAAAAAGCATGAACAGCAGAAGACCAAGAGTGCCCTTAACATACCGTAATACCCGCTTCATCAGACCTGCGAATACTGAGTCCAAGACCAAGAGTGCCCTTAACATACCGTAATACCCGCTTCATCAGACTCCAATCAGCCGTGGTAGGAGACTGCATGTGCTGACAGAGCCTATTAACTGCAAAAGATAAATCAGGGCGAGTCACAGTCAGGTACTGCAGGGCACCTGCAATGCTGCGATAGTGAGTGGGATCAGCATAAGGAGTGGTGTCAGCATCATCAGACCGAACCACTGAAACCGGGGTCGAGACCGGCTTGCAATCCACCATGCCGGCACGCTTAAGAATGTCCTGAATATAACGCCTCTGAGAGAGGAGAACACCATCCGAGAGCGGCACAGTCTCAATACCGAGAAAGAACGATGGAGCCCCCATATCCCGAATCTTGAACTCCGCAGCCAGCTTGGCCACAATTCCCGAGACCGGCTGCGAGTCCGAGCCCATGACCAGAATGTCATCAACATACACCAAAAAATACAACTGCACAGCACCATCAGAATAGATAAATAATGACACGCCAGTTTTAGAAGGAACAAAGCCAACCGAGCAAAGAAAATCGTGCAACCGAGTGAACCAAGCACGAGGGGCCTGCTTCAAACCATACAGAGACCGTTGCAGAAAGCACACATGATCCGGTTTCGTCTTGTCCTCGTAGCCAGGCGGCTGACACATGTATACTGTCTCAGCTAGCGAACCATTCAGAAATGCGTTGTGAACATCCAGCTGCCTGATGGACCAACCACGAGAGTAAGCCAAGGAAAGTAAAAGCCGAACCGTGGTAGGCTTGACAACCGGACTGAACGTCTCAAAAAAGTCTTTCCCGGCTACCTGATTAAAACCCTTAGCCACCAGCCGGGCCTTGTGACGTTCAACAGATCCATCCGCATTTCGCTTGACCCGAAATACCCACTTACACCCCACAACATTCATACCTGGAGTATAAGGCACAAGACGCCATGTATGGTTCTGTAGCAAAGCATTAAACTCCACATCCATGGCCTCACGCCACTCTGGATGACGCACGGCCTGTGAGTACATGGATTAAGCCATGTGAACCTGAGGACCAGGGGACTCAGAATACCTGCGATAGCAATTTAACGCAGAATGGCCCTGTTTATCACAAATCTGACACCGCACATCAGACCGACCCCGGCCACCACCGCGACCCGAGCCTCCACTGCCCGAGCCGCCACCGCCCGAGCCACTGCGATTCTGCCCGCCATACCCGCGACCGCCACCACGGCCACGGTTCACGGCCAACACTGCCGGCGAACCAACTCCACCACCGCCAGCCGCACAAATCCACTCCTGAGAGGTAAGGTAGTCCGAAAGCTCGGACAACGTCACCGGAGAGCCACGCGTCAAGGGTGCAACGAGGGGACGAAGCTCCGGCCGCAACCCGCGAAAAACATATATATTTTGATCATCAAGCGTGATCGGACGCCCGGCAAGCGCTAAGTCCTCGACAAGCATCCGTGCCCGACCGAGATAATCTGAGACAGAAGACTCCCCCTGAGTTAGCGCTTGCAACTCGCCAAGCAGCCGCAAGGCACGAGACCGTGTCGCCGATCCAAGTTCCTGCTCGATGGCTAACCACAAGGCTCGTGAAGTGGACCGACCAACGGCCATATGCATCATCTCATCGGATAGCGACGAAATCAAAAGAGACAAGATAGCCTTGTCTTGTCGACGCCACTGCTCCGAAGCCGAACCCGACGCCGCGGCAGTGCTGCTGTCCGCCGTGGACTCCACCGGCGCTGCACCGGTTGGACAAGCGTGCGTACCATCCACATAACCGAGAAGACCCTGCCCCTCCAAGAACGGAAGCATTTGAGTCCTCCAAAAAAGATAATTATGAACGGTAAGCTTAAGCGAGACAAAATGGTGCGCCGAAGATAAGCTCGGGACCGGGTGGGGATGAACAGGAGCAACCTCGGACACAGTCCGTTCAGAAGAATCGCGAACAGAACCGTCATTGTTGTCTCCCAAGGCTGCCATGGAATTAACCTGGAAACTGATACCAGATGAGGATTTGATTATTGAATATCAATCGTAACTGAGTCTGTACAAGTAATAATATAGAGAGTAGATAAAGAGTCCTAACGAACTACTAATATAAGAGTCCTAATAGGTATAAATAGTTGATAACATTAGCTGATTGTAGAAAAGTGTTTGGTAAATTAGCTGATAGCTGTTTAGTATAATTTCTTTTCTCAAAAAGCTAATTGAAAAAGTTGCTTGGAGTAGCTTTTTTGAATTTTAGCTTTTTGGAATTGCAAAAAGCTAATTAACCAAACATTTATATTGATATTTTAACTAAATCAAACAATTAATAGTGGTCAAATAAGCCAAAATTGACTTATAGGCCAATTTTTTACCAAACAGGGCCAATATTTATTTGAATTTATACGCGACGTAAGACTCTCCTTAAAAAAAGGCCATGTGGAAGCTAAGTTAGGGAAGATAATGTTGTATCTATCTATCTATCTATGCAAATCCGATCCCCAATCACGACATGAATTTTGGAGGGATTCTACTGCAGTCTGCAGTATAGTAGTTGGGGAAGCAGACCATCCCGTCTATATCGGGAAAGAAATTAACAAGCGGAAGACGACGTACGTTAATTACTCCGATTCGTCAAAGTAAACGAATTAAATAGATCAGATGGGATCAGAGTTGAGGTTGGACTGGTCGCATATATATATATATATATATATATATATATATATATATATATATATATAGGTCAGGTTAGGTGTGAACAGTGCTTTCCGTGCCGTCACTCACCATTAGGTACACATAAATGCACCACAAACTGTTTGGAAATGCACCATTGGGTGTGGTCTAGTGTGGAGTGTGGTGCATTTTGTGGTACATTTCTGAATTACGTGCATTTTTACATACCTAATGGTGAATCCGCATCGGCGGAAGCACAGTCCGCATTTGAACCAGTATATATATATATATATATATATATATATATATATTTATTTATTTATTTATTTATTTATTTATGCTTTGCTTGAATCCAGAGTTCCAAATCCCAGTGTTTCGTCATGCATGAAGGTATAGTGGTTGCTCTGCAGACAAATTAAAGAATTGAATTGAAGTAGGATATGATCTTGTTTATTTATTTAGGGCAGATATATACATCATTCTTTTTTTTGAATTTAAGGCAACATGGTGCAATGCATTTATTTCAAGCCCAGCTCTTTTGGTAAATTCTTTTAAAAAAAATGATGAATATATCTTATCTTATAATAATAATAATAATAATAATGATGATGATGATAAGTACGTGGTGGTGGTGGTGGTAGTGGTGGTGCGGTGGCGGCGGCGGCGGCGGTGTGGTGACAGCGGTGGTAGCGATGATGTTCGTAGTGGTGGTGGTGTGGTACAGTGGTAGTGGTGTTGGTGTGGAAATTGAAAAATGACTTTTTCCAAAAAAGACGAGAAGTCATTTTTCACCATATTTTCCACTCTTTACCAAACACTAAAACCACGAAAAATGATTTATAGAAAATCATTTTTCGGGTTTCCAAACGCACCGTTAGGGTCCGTTTGAAAACCCGGAAATCATTTTCCAAAATTTTCCGTGTTTGGGTACTCAAGGAAAATGAAGTCAAATGAAAATATTCATTTTGGCCAAGGAAAAAAATATCCAATTTGACGAAAAATGTCTTTCTAGTTTTTTAGTATGAAGACATTTTCCAAATTCTTTATTTTCGATATGTCTTCCTTTTCGTTCTTTTTAAAGTCAATTCCAGATTATTATTAATTACCACCACAACATCACCACCACCACCAACACCACAACCACCACACAACGATGGCGATCACCACCACCACCATCTCCATTACTACCACAACAACACCACCATGACCACATATTATTATTATTATTATTATTATTATTATTATTATTATTATTATTATTATTATTATAACAAATAATATGTTTTTTAAGAAAATGAACCAAACAAGAAAAAAAAAATACAATTTTTTAACTTTTAGCCAAACAGAAAAAGATAATTTTTATATTCAGCCATACACCAGAAAATTAAAATATTCTAGAAAAATGAGTCATTTTTTAGAAATCATTTTTCACGAAAATATTTTTCCGGTTTCCAAACCAACCCTTAGGGGGCGTTTGGTTCACAGAATGTTATATTACCTCAGGGAATGTTAGATTGCTGGGAATGTTAAATTATTTGGAATGTTAGATTCCTGTGTTTGGTTTAAAACTGGGGTATGTAATATAAATATGTTTGGTTGAAGAGATATTTTTTTTTATGGTATGATGATGATTTTTACTTGAATACTTTTAACCTATTTTTATGTATTATAATAAATTTGAAATTCAAATAAATAAATAAGACAATGGTAAAATATAGAAGTAAATAATTTAAAATTAATGAACTAATTAAGAGTTTGAACAATAATTAATTAAAGCAATTTATTACAATTTACAATTACAAAATCAGCAATAACACAAGGGAATGTGAGATTACCTAAGAAAAGGAAGGTATCTCACATTCCCTTGCAATAGTTAAAAATCTTTGTGGAGATTATGTTACATTCTCAAGGAAAAATTGTATAATTTGAACCAAACATGAAAATACTATATTACCAAGCAAATATAACCTTGGTTATCTTATATAACTCGAACCAATTGCCACTTAGTTAAAATTATATGAATAAAGATTATACGTGTATATGTAAAGAGGGAGTGAGAGTTGGTTATTATACACTGGTATTTTATGTTTTTTCTTTTCATCCGAAATGATTGTGGTCCATGACACTTGACAGAGAGTTTAATTGGCCATTTAATGGCTGGGACTTGGGAGTAGGTTTTGAGTAAAGCTAAGGACATCGACTTAGGTTGTGGTGCAAAATCGTTTACAAATTAATCATGGGGTCCTCATCTCATGGAGGAAATTGTGGGATGATTATATTGAAGTGAATGTAGATGAGATAATAAGAGTGTTTGTTTGGTGATTTTTGTTATAAAGTTGGGATAGTAAGTAGTCTAGGGGATGAAAAAAAAAAGTCCCAAAAATGAGAGAAATAGCGTTTTAGGAGACAATATATACATGATATATAATAAATAAGGTAATCAGTTTGTAGTTCAATGACATCTCTGTGGCTCTCTCAAATGGGAGGTCAGATTCGAACTCTAGTAAATTATTAATTCTTTATGTTTAAATATGTTGAGAAAATATGTATTAACAGATATTACATTATAAAAACAATAATACTCAGAAAAGATAAGATGAAAAGATTGGATTTCATAGTTGTTCATGCACATTGCATGTCCTCAGGGCACTTGTGTGACACAACTCATTTGGTGTGTGAAAGTGATATTGCCAATTGTAAGATGTTGATTGTACATTATTGCTTTCTTCTTAATTATTTTTTAATATGTTAACAAGCTATGCCGTGATATAATGTTTTACATTTAATTATAAATTGTAATAATTATTATTAAAAATAAAAATTGATAATAAACAAACGAATAATAAATGATAGGTTATGTGAAAGTAGTAAATTCAAAAAACAAAAAACAAAAGCCTAATAATGTGAAATGAGGGGTTACAAAACTTAGCAAAAAACTCGAATTGGAGATGCTTTTATGTCCATCTAATAAGTAATAACCATCCCATTTATTAAAGCAAAACTTTCAAACTTGATTACTATTTTAAATGAGAGTCAACAAAACGTCAGAATCAACATAAATGTACATAGTTTACTACATAAATGCATACAATCTATTTCAATGTAGATTGTGTGCATGAAATATTAGATTGTGTGCATTCATGTAGTAGTTCACATGTTCTCCCTTAAAGAGTGATTCTCACATGAACGCAAGACTATATTTATGGTGATGTTCTAATGAGGATTTATCACTCCTCTTCTGAGAACCTACGAACTTCTATATGAATGCACAAATCTTCTATACAAATGCACAAAATCTAATATTTCAAGTACACAATACACAGAATCAAACTCGGAGTAGTTTGTGTGCATTTATGTTGGTGTGTGTGTGTGTGTGTAGTTAATTCCATTCCGGTCATAGATTTATAGGTGTCAATCCACTTGTAGTTATTTTTTTAGAGCATCTACGACTTTGGTTCTAGTATTATTGTGGTATGATCATTTTTAGTTGTATATCAACAAAATCGTTTAAACTCTGTAAAATACAAGGGCAATTAAGTTTTTAATTATGATTTTTTTTTTTCAAAAAACAAAAATATAACGGGTCAACCCACTTGGTATAAAAATGATCAAAACGTCATTATATTTAATGACATTTCGATGATTTTATTAATAGAGGATTAAATTTGTTATTGTTATATATAATAATAATAATGGAGTCCCGCATATAAATCTAAAACAAAAAATAGAATCAAGTCTTTATATATTATTTCCTTAACTAAATCTAGTGTTTTTGTTGTTTCTAGATCCCAATGACGACGTAAAAATTGGAGGGATAATGTAGGCAATATGGTAGTTGGAGAAGCAGACCAGAATTCGTGGAGTATTAATGAAGGCACAGAGGGAAGACGTACGTGACGTTACGTTACTACGTTAGGCTGATCCGTCAATTAAATAGAGGTCAAGTCGGAGTTGTGATCTTACAGGGGTGAAGTTTAAGAATAATTACTTGAGATTGAATCTCACCAGCATCAGTGTAAAAATAACCTCTCAAAATAAGAGAATTTTATTTATGCAGTAAGCAAAGACCTAACTTTTGTTTTCAGCTGAATTACTATGATTTGAAAACTGAATACTCTGTCGAATCAGGGGCGTGAAGAGTCTTTGGAGGTTAAGAAATCAACATTTTTGTGAACAATGAATTTTGTGGTTGCTACGACGTCCAAAAAACGTACCATGGATTTTAAATTTAATTAATTGGGTAGATACAAGATTCTTGTTTCTCATTTAAGGCAACACGGGATAGTACATACTCTTATACACCTTATAATACATTTATTTGAAGACCAACTCAGTTACTCAGATAATGGTTTAGTAGCTCGAAAGTTTAAACTTTATTAACTATTTAAATTGTAAGAATGTCAAGATCTTGTGGTTTAATGGCATTCAGGTTAAATTCTTATATGTAAGGTTGTTAAAATAGTTTATGAACAGATACTGTAATGTAATAGAGTCGGTAGCATTTAAAAATTTAAATGGTAAGAATAATCCTCACAATTTGAATTGGTATAGTATGAGAATTCACATGGGAAAGTTTTGGTCAAATTAATGAGAATGTGATTTCTAAATTTTAAAAATTAAGAAAAGTAAATTTAATTTAGGGAGCCGAATTTTATTTTCAGGATCTGTAGCTTACCCGAGGAGAACAAGGAAATCATGTTGCTCAAATTTAAAAATTTTATTTTTCATTGAAATAAAATTTAAAATTTTAATTCTTAAAAATTAAGATAAAATATGTTTTTACTCGAATTTGAGAAAAAAATATCCTAAGAAAATATTATTCTGTTAACCAAACAGGTCATCATTTTCTCTCGTCATCATTAAATATAAGTTGAGATGTTTTTCTTTGTTAGTAATTACAAGGTGTAAGCTAAGGTTCAAACGCTACCAAGGATTTAAAAAAAGAAAAAGATATATGAATTTAGTTTTGTTGTGGATAGTAATATATACACATTTGGGGACATATAGGTTAGTTAAGATATATTTTCTGATTTACCTCATTCACTAGGACAAATTATTGTGTGGACCACGGTACAATACGATGTTATTTTGATGTTTAAAAAACAAATTCCTTGCTCCACACACGTGTTAGAATAATGAAATTTTTGGAGTAAGATAATGTGTTTTAAAGTTAGATTAATGTACTTTATGTGTTAAAATAATACTCCGTATATTTTATGAGTTAGAATAATGTAATGTAATGTATTTGATGTGTTACAATAATGTACTTTATATGTGTTAGAATAATGAAATTTATGGATTAAGATAATATATTTTATGAGTTAAAATTAAATATAACCGGTAAATTAAATGAAAGTGGAGACTGAAGAATAAGGTGCCATGGTGTCGGCTGTCGGGTCTATTTGAGAAGTAAAAGAAGAGATTATAAAGTGAACAATATGCATACGGAAATATAATCGTGTGACAAAAGGTCATAGCACGGTATTGATGAAATTAAGCACTTTGAGGATTTCTTAACGGTGAAAGGCAAATAAATTCCCAAATTATTTGTCAATTACTATGGGTGTTTGGTAAATGACACTTAGCTGATTGTGTTAGTATTTTTTTTTCAGTGTAAATTACGATGTGGTTCGAGTCTTTTTCTATCTGATTAACGGTTCAGGTCCACCCAGTTCGCTCTGAGAGGCACAGAAACTGGCCCAAAGGGAATCGTCACTTGTAGAAAAGTGTTTGGTAAATTAGCAGTGAGCTGATTAATGACTTTCTTAAAAAGCTTATAGAAAAAGCTACTTTGAGCAGCTTTTTAAATTTTAGCATTTTAGAGTAATAAGTTGTTACACAAAATTAATTAATCAAATACTTATATTGATTGTTTAAGTCAAACAACTAATAGTGGTTAAATAAGCCAAAATTTAATGATAGGCTAACTTTTTACCAAACAAGGCCTATGTAGTGTGATGTCACAATGTTATCATTTTAAATGGGTGGTCAGCCATTGATTATGCTCCTCGTGATAACTTCTGTTACGAGCGTAATGACACTCGTAATAGCAGAGATTTGGCTTCCATCTTACTTTTGCTCCTTTTTGTCCAAATTAAATTACTCTTAAATTGAGAAAGTATATAATAAATATTACATTGTAAAGAATCATAAGTGTTTAAAAAAAAAATCTCGTATTATTTATGAAAAGTCAATTGTATCTTTGAACTGCAAAAAAAATAAATTATATTAGTCCTCAAACTCTTAAAAAAATATAATTAGAACATTTTTGTGTGTAAATTACTTGCTATTGTAAGTTATTTGAGGTGATTTCATGTGTAATTGTATTTGTATACATGGACACCATATAGACTATTTTAATTTTTTAAAAATATTTTTTATATAAAAAATTAAAGAAAATTACAAATTAGGTTGATGTGACATCCGTGTATACAAATAAAGTTACACGTACAAGCCACATCAATATAACCTGTAATAATAGATTAATAGGTAACTTATATATAAAACGGTTCTAACTTTATTTTTAAAGAGTTCGAGTGCTAATAAGGAATTTTTATGATTTGAGGGTGCAATTAACTTTTTTAAATAGTTCAATGACGTATTTGGCGCTTCTTTTATTGAGGATGTCAATCAGTCTAGCTCTATCAGTTTTGGGCAAATCCTGTCGACCCCATTGTTAGGATTATTGGTTTTAGGGTAATTGAGTTGATTTATTTTTATCATATTACATTTGTTTAGACCTAAATTGTTAGATTGTTTGGCTTATCAAGCAAGCTCAACTAATATTTTTGACATTTTAAAATTAACATTTTAATAAACTAACACATTAACACTAATAAGTATAAACATATATATCACTAAATCAATCCAAACCTTCATTTTAAATTGCAACTAAAAATAATTAATATATATATATTTTTTAGTGATGAGAGAAGCCTGCAACACGACTTGAGGGTGTGCATTGGGTAAAATAATTAATATATTTACACTTATAATATAATAATTATAATAAGTTTTTATTTTATGTCATTTATTTTGCAAAAAAAAAAAAAATTGACGATGCATTTATTAAAATTTAATAAATAAAATATTAAAAATGAACTTACGTATAAACTCATCACATGTATATTTTGTTCCACATTACTTGTAAAACAAACAGTAACCTTGAGTGACGCGAGCTATCCAGCTAGCCCACTAAATTTTGGGTCATCGGACTTGTCCATTTTGGGTTATTCGGGGCAATTTTTTTTATCAAGTTAATTTTATTTTACCCTAATCCTAGCATTTTTCGATTTTATCGGGCTAACCCAGCAGTTTCAAATTAAGATTGACATCTCTATCTCGCATTTCTTAATAACTTTATGATTTAGGATTTGTTTCGAAACACGAAAATTTGTTTTCTAAAAAAATCATCTTTAGAAAATAAATCATTTTTAAAAATATTTTTATTTTTTGATGGTGGATCAAAAGTTATAAAATTGTCTCTTACTATTTAATTTATTTTCCAAAAAATAAAATCAATTACAAAATCATATCTTATACTCAGTAAATTATTACTTATCTACTAAATATAAAAAATAAAAAATTCTAATAATGCTAGGTCATAACATGAATAAAAGTTGTCTTGGTGTAATAAATGGAATCAATGGCTTATATTTTATGTTTTCTTTCTTATATTTATGCAAATAATTTTCAAATTTATCCTTCATCTTTATAGTTTTTCATTAACACATAAAATCTAAATGTTAAGTCATAATCTTACATATAATAAAGCTATATGGTTGGGAAATAATTAATGTTATAATTAATTACCAACATTATTATTATTACTAGCTATAAATATAAAATAGCCACAACATCTTTTACTATTAAAAAAAAAAAAAGCACAACATTTGAAAAATAAAATAGTTATTTTTTTTTTCTCGCCCATAACAAAGGATTACATTTATTGAATTAATGGAGTTATTAAATGTTATGATATTATGATTAACGACTCCGATTCACGATTAATAGAAAATATGAAACGATGCAATATTAGTTAAATCTCTGGCTTTACAATGAAAGTCTATTTGATATGCTTTTGTTATTTATGGTAGTTCTTGTGATTACAATATTAATTAAAATTTCAATGAAAGCCTGTTCAATATCTGAAACAGTACAATTAATGCAAGCCTCTACATATAATTTTTCTCCATCTCAAATGCTTCAAAGAAATGGCAGAAGCGAGAAGGGATGAAGAAAGCAAATGTTGCGGGCCGTGGGTCAATTATTGGACTTCATAATTAAAAAAAAAAATCATTTAAGCCATAAATAAAAATTTAAATATATATAAATGTATATATCGTATGGGTCTTTTATGTTTTTCTGAATGTCTAAACTTAGGATTTTTTACCAGGACTACGTAGTCTAATGGTATCCGGGTTGGACTTCCAATTGGAAGATTATGAGTTCAAGCCTCAGTGGAGGCGTTATTGGTTCTTTGTGTTTCAGTAGGTTGAGAAAGTATATGAACAGATACTACAATGTAATAGAACCAGTAACTTTCAAAAAAAAAAAAAAAAACTTAGGATTTTTAAAAGAAAAAAAATACATTTGAATTATCTCCACAAAAAGTGGTCTTGGACTTATAAAATGACATTTGAGTTTATGGAATGCCATGTGCATAAAGAATATATTATATAATCATATAAAAAAATGTGTTCAATTAGAGTTTAAATTTACTTATACAAAATTTGAAATTTGCTTTCTAAATGTAATTATCTTAGTTATTATTCGTATTGTGAAAATTATAATATAGATGAAATACAATTAAGAATAAATCAATGTAATTATGTAAATTCTCTCTATAAGTTTATTTGAATATGTACATAATTAGAGATTATATTAACCATACAAAATTTTAATTATAATTTTGTATTCTATAAAAATAATAAATACTTGATCAATGGAAGCTCAAAAATATTATTATATTAAACAATTTAAAATATTTTTATTTTTTCTATTTTTATTTATATTTATAATAACATTTAAATTTTTTCCCGTGCATCGCGCGGGTGAATTACTAGTTAAAATTAAAGCAATAATATTAATATACTTAGTGGCATTGATGATTTAGCATTGTGATTTCTTACATGTACTTTTACAAATACTTCCTATTTATACCATTCTCTTCTTAGTTTTGCCTGTAAGCATATAGCCATTATTCATTAACGTGCAATCCAACTATCAGCTTAAGTTTTTAGTTGAGATGGAGCACATACTTCAATTTGGTATCAGAGCCGCACACGTGAGGGGCGACTACGGTTTACCGGTCCACGTGTTGCTTGGAACCCACCGCACACGTGAGGGGGTGTTGCTTAAACTTTTAGTTGAGATGGAGCACATACTTCAATTTTGCCCACACTATTTTCAATCCTAAATATCTGTTAACTTTTGCTTTCTTCATTTTATGGGTTTTTTTTTTTTTTTATTTTTTGATTTTTTTTTATTTTTTTGTAATTGGTATTTTTAATTGCATATTTTTTTATAATGCTAGTGATACAACTTTAAGCTTAAATCTTGTGATTGTTAAAACCAAATCTAATATATTATCTTTTATTACTTTAATTTGCGTTATAACAAAATGAAACAATTTATTCTTTAGGGACAAGGGTCAAATAAGTCATCCCATTCAACATTTATATATGAAAAATGTAATTAAGCTATCGAACTCTTAAAAGCTCTAAATGCCATTGAACTTGAAGAAATAATATAAATAAACCCTTTTTTATTGTGTATGACCATAGTTTGATTCGAACCGAACCGAAACCGTACGATCGGTTTCAATTGCAGTTAAGAACCGAAATCCAAAGAGTTTCGATTCAGATTCTGGATAATTTGGAACCGGGACCACCAATTCCGATTTGGAACCGGGCGGTTCCGGTTTCATAACCGAAAAAAAAAAATAATAAACATGTTTAAATAGGCAAATTATATCGTAGACCAGGGAACACACTGCACTGTGGATCTTGGTCCAATACACATAATTCATGTTCATAATACACATATACATAAACACGATATAATCAACATAAATTCTAATCATTATGAACATGAATTCTATGTATTATATTAAGTGTTTATGTGTCCTTAATTATATAATACACATAATTCATGTTTATTATATCATGTTTATATGTATGTGTATTATAAATATAAATTTTGTACATTATGAACATGAATTCTATGTATTATTAGACCAGAATTTATAATGCACTATGGACTCTGGTCCACGATATAACTATTGGTTTAAATACGCCAGAGCCAAAACAGGCCAGTGGCCTACTGGTCAGTAGCCTGGCGCAAAGGATAAGAGGGAAAATGATTATTATAGGTTGGATTAAATAGTGCATATGCTTCAAAAAAGGGGAAAAAGGAATAAAAGGATCATATTTGTGTAAGAACTTCTCACATATTTTTATTCTCGAGTCATCATATCAATATACAAAAGTAATCCTTATACTAGCAAATGTAATACTAAATTATGAATAAAATGTTTGTTACGGGGAGAAGAGGTGAAGAGTAAGAGTAAAGTTATTTGTCTAAA